ATTTGATTCATTAAACCTGAGCCTTGGGGGACTATCGATTTTTGAAAAAAGGTGAAGTTTGACTTAAACCAAATTGCCTTGAGAAAAGTTGAGGATAGTAGATGATGAGTTTGATATCTTTTTATTGAAAGCCCAATACCAGAACATCTTGGGTGAAATAATTACTCCATACATCAATTAGTTCTGATTGTAAACCTGGAGTAGGAGCTGGAAATCTTGACTTAAACCATGTTGGTCCTCGAAGCCTATCACTTATTTTTTCATGATATGTAATGAAAGGAGTCAAACATGAGTCGCAATAAAATCGAGTCAGTAAGAACTTCAGATAAGTTTTATAATTGACTCCATCGGAGGATTTTTGCTGAGGATGTCGGGATGATAATCAGACACCTTCTAAATTAAAATTTGGGGGAACTTTGGATGACGTGGGAAGGATACTTTCGAAAATCGAAGTTAGCCATAGTTGGATGAACCATATGAGACCTGAAAATTTTCCTAAGGGATTTTTAGTATTCAAGATGTCAACTGCCTCATCGAACGCTGTATAGACATGAGCCAACAGGAGTTTTGCCAAACAAATTCGAGGTTGACTGGTATGAAGAAGGTAAGCAAGATTATAAAAAATGTGATAAAATTTGGATAGATTGAGGGCAAAAAACATGAGTGCAAAGCCAATATACAAAAAACGTAATATGTTCTTCATTGGAAACTGCAATTGATTGGTCATCGATAAAATGTTTTTCAATGAAATGACCATAGGCCTTCGCATCCCAATCGATTTTTGCTTTGAGAGAATCTTCAGAAGGGAAAGCAGTCTTAAAGTATTTTTTTCCCCTGTGGGTTTTAACCCAGTAATTGCAGCAATCTCAAAAAGAGTAGGGGAAAGAGGATCACATGGAAGCTCTATAGCATGTAAATCCTTATTCCATAAATGAATTGCGGATAAAAACATGAGCATATCCAAAGATGATAAATCACATCGAGATAAGTGTAGAAAGTCGAAAATCCCTGTGTCTTTCCAATGGTTTCTAAACTTGGTTTTCATTCTATCAAACCACCTTATATATAAGGGTTTTTTTTGGAGGACCGGTTCGATATAATTTTGAGGTAGCATTTAGGAAATCGATCCTTATCTCAGTTTTGTCAATAATGGCTTTGCTTTCGGAAGGCAGACAGATAGTAGAGGAAGTCGATCCACCAGAATAACGAATAGGACCACCGAATGCATAATCAACATTATCAACTGTACAAGGTATAAGTACCTGTGTTTCAGCAATTTTTTGCGAAGCTTCTTCCAATAGTGGGACCGAAGCAAACTTTTGGTCGTTTATCTCTATTAAATTTGAATTCACTGTCGACAATGGCGGGGTGGGGAGGTCAGAAGATTTGGAAGTTGTCATGGCAGCTGTGTAAAGATGGAAGACGGAGAAGATGTGACGGATGAGGAAGATGGGTTAGTTTTTAGTAAAGATAATGCAAGTTGATTTGAGTATTTAAAAGGGGCCAATTAGGGTAGTTGAAACGACGAACGTGGAAAGAAGTTAAATGGAGACGTGACAGATTTTTTGGGAAAAGACGAGTTTTTTGGAGAATCTAGTAATATTAATGAGAAAAATGACTTGATTTGACATTTGATAATAAAAACAGTTTTTTGGCTTCAGAACATTTAAGAGTTGAAATGGACACTTTCTGAAAGAATACAAAATTTTGCACAAATATTTTTATTCTTTTAAGAGGGCATTTTGTTGGTGGGAAAAAATCGAGAATCTGAATCGAAAGAAGAACAGAGGAAATTCGATGAACATGATTGAGGAAGTAAAAAATCAATTATAGGTATTGAGTGTGAAGTTAAGTGGAAAGTCAGAAGCAGTTTAAAATACTCGATGGTTGAGGTCGAGATTGAGGGAACGATTAACGTGCACATGGAACATGGGAAGCAGTTTTCTAAACCGGGGCCAAGGTGGAAATCGAGGAACGGTTAACGTGCACATGGAACATGGGAAGCGGTTTTCTAAAACCGTGGCTAAGGTGGAAATCGAGGGACAGTTAACGTACACATGGAATGTGGTAGCGGTTTTTAAACCGCTCGTGGGAGGTTACCTTAAAGAAAATCTATAAATAGAGCGAAACATGAAGAAGGAAGGGGAAATTGGCAGAGAGAACAGAAACACAAGTGAACAAGTCTACCGGAGAACGACGAATCATGAAGTTTCTGGTGATCTGGATTTCCATTTTCATTGACTGTTGTTACCGCTTTCTGTATTTTCCCTGGTACTTTATCTTTAATGCAATATAATTTTACGTGTCTTTACTTTCATGTTATTTCAATTCATTGTCATTTACACTTATGCAATTTAAAGATTCTGCATTTACACTTAACACAATACATCTTTGTCTCGAGCAATTTTAATTTCATGTCATTTACTCTTAGTGCAATTTAACTTTATGTACTACTTTTTGCTTCGACAACGTTTTTACTGCTTTCTTTACTTCCGTTAAATCTTCACATTTTTGAGTTTCTTAATAAAAAAAAAAACAAAAACAAGAACTTTCGATTTCAATATGTATGCTTTGTTATGTTTTCTGTGTTTCTAATATTTATGTTTTATTTCATCCATTTTGCTCGATATTTTGATATTTTCGATTTACATACATTTTTTTATTGAAAAACTGTTTGTTAGCCTAAGTAAAAAGAATTTATTTGGTTGAAATTTGGTTAGAACCTAAATCTTTAGGACATCGAAAACAACCAAAATTTTCACAAGAAACAAAAAAGTATTATATTTTTTGCTTCTATTGAGTATATCTACCAACATATTAATACTCCAATTATATAAAATCATTTATAAATAACTTACACCTCCTATCATTACGGACTTGGGGCTAGTTTGATTTAGTTTTTTTTTTTTTGTTAAATAGTTTTAGTAAATAATTTTTAAAAATATTTTTACAAATAAATTTAAAAAAATATTTGATAACTATAGTTTAAAACTTGTTTTAGAAATGAAAAAAATAAAAAAAATTGTTTGATAATTTTTTTTTCGCAAATGGTTTTATAAATAAATAAATAAAACTCAATCCATTATGATTTTTTTATTAATTATTTTTTAACAAATACATTAAATTTTAGTTTTCATTAAGAGTAAGATACTTTTGTTTCTTTTATAAAGGACTATAAACAAAATAAAAAATTTATAAATATTATAAACTATAAATAAGTGGGACAAAAACTTTGATTCGTTATTTTAAAATTAATTGTCATCTACAAGGAATCAATTTTAAAATAAATAAATATCATTTGACATTTATAAATCTCATAAAAATAAATATTTTCACAATAAAAATGTCGCATCAAAAGAATTTGTAAAATATATTATAAAATAATTCAATTTAAATATCGAAAGTTTCAATTTTAAAATATTTATAATGTTATCATTAATGAAAATTAAAGAAAACTCTTTCTCGTCTGTCTTTTGATTGTTTCAATAAAAAAATAAGAAAAATTGAAAATAATATATAGTCAAAAATGATTTTAATAAATTGGAGTGTGAGTATAAATTAATTAATATTGATGTCAAATGACAATAAATAAAAGTATATTTTAAAAAATAAAATTCCATATTACCAACTTACCAAGCGACTATAAGTCTCAGTTAGAAGCTGTAAACAAAATGATATTAATATATTATGATAGGAACTACTATTAATAGTGCTAATCGAAGCTAGAGGTGAAAGTCCAAGATATAATCTGGTGCAGTTCAATAAGTTGTCCCGTGGCACCGGAGAAGCCAACGCTGACCCATTCAGGCAGAACGGTGGTCAAATCAATCACATGCCCAATCCTAGGTCCGTCGTTACTTACAACCACGCTTAAATTTTGTGCCACGGGATCATAAGCAACGGTAGCAGATACTGTTGCAATCCCAAGCTGTTTATTTTCCCAGGCCACTGCTGTTACCGAAGAAATGGAGTTAATATCAATGCCTATGTGGGGAAAAGGAGGGTCCCATACATTTTGGTGCATGTCAAATTCAACGGCAACCATTTGGTTTCGGTTTGTGTTTTTTAGAGCAGTGTGGGGACTGAAGAGTCCGAGGTATCCACCAACTGCATCATGGGGCATGTCAGAGCCGAACGGTGCGAGGAAGAAAGACACCCCATCTCCAAAATCTAAAGTTGGAGCATTCAGTATCTTAAAAGTGAAGGTAGTAGTGAAGCTTGCAACCTTACCAGTTTGTGCATCCCAAAGACGCACGGGTAGAGCATGGGTGGCTCTGCCAGCACTGTTGGGCATGATTGAACCGTTGTTCTGGACTTCTGTTAGTTGTATGACACCCCTTGACTCATAGGCAGCGCCTTGGAAGGTTAAAAGGGTGTTTGCGTTTGGCCCTGAAAAATTGGGGAATTTGAAAGATGTGTCTGAATTGCGATGCAGCATTAAAAATGGGATGAGGAGCAAGAAAACGGGCTTTGTGTTGTACAAAGCAGCCATGGCTCTAAACTTATGCTATCATATGGAGAATGGTGAAGTTTTAATCCACTAGATATATACTAAGAGGTTTTTGTGAGCTGAGAAAATGAAATTCACTAAATTGTGTAGGAGCGGAAGTGGCCAAACGATTTACATAGTTGACGATGGATGAACGGTTAGAACAAGGATGAAGTCTTTTTCACACTCATAAGGATTATATACCTATATTGATTCACGGTCATAAGATGTTTTTTGCTTTTGTTGCAATCTAAGAATGACATATATTTAAGACAACCGCTAGTGGTCCAAGTAATATTGACCAAAATCTTTCGATATATATAAACATTCCTAGGATTTTTCACTTTATTTAGTACCACAAACATTACTATGTAAGGTGCATTGTTGGAAAACTATTTTTTATTCATTTTGCTGATTTAGCAGGCCTCAGCGAGCCTTTATATAACTCAAATCTCACCCTGTGCCATGCACCACTCAATCAAGCATCCGAGTAATCTCTCAGGTGTCAACCATGGCTAAAACACAAACTCCATTTCCCGTTCTCATGATTTCCCTCTGTTTTCTGTTGCTACTAAACAACGTGAAATCAGATTCATTTTCGTTCAGCTTCTCCAATTTCGGAACGGGACCAAATTTCGACATTGGTTTCCTCGGGGATGCTCGTCCATCAGATGGTGTAATACAATTGACAAGAAGAGACAGGAGAGCATACGGCACTCCCATCATTCGCAAACACAGTGTTGGTCGTGCTGTTTATGTTCCACCCGTGCGTCTCTGGGACAAAACCAGCGGGAAACTTGCAGACTTCGAAACAGTGTTCTCCTTTGTGGTTGATTCCGCTGGTTCACAAATCCACGCTGATGGCTTATCATTCTTCATCATACCCTTTGATGCAGACCCCAGCATTCCCAAGAATTCATCTGGTGGATACCTCGGACTCTTCAGTCCCGAAACTGCTTTCAAAGGCAACAAAAATCAAATTGTGGCTGTTGAGTTTGACAGCTTCGGAAATGATTGGGATCCCAAGCCCGTGCCCGTTGCTCCTCACATTGGTCTTGACATCAACACTCTTGAGTCGGTGAAAACGGTAGATTGGCCTGTTAATTCAGTTCCTGAAGGTTCAGTTGGAAAAGCTAGGATTAGCTACAATTCGCAGGGTAAAGAATTGAGTGTGGTCGTTGCCTATGGTACTCAACCCGCCACTGTTGTTGGCTTCATACAAACAATCGATTTGAGGGATGTTCTGCCGGAATGGGTTAGAATTGGGTTCTCTGGTGCCACTGGTGATAGCGTTGAGACCCATGACATTCTGTCGTGGAGTTTCGGTTCAATAATCTAAGAATCTAAGGAGAGGTGTTCCAGGAAAGGAAAATAATTATGTAATGCGAGGGCCAAGTCTACAATTCTGGCGTAGAAAACTGATATATAGACACTAATAATTTCAAACATCCATTTAACAACTATTTTTAACAATAAAATAATAATAAATATGAAAATATAAACTTTTATTATTATAAAATTAATAAAAATAGTTGATGTTGGCTTGTTTGTATCTTTAAGAGTTGTCAATATATATATATCTTCTGCATTAGTGTTTTATTTTATTTATACGAGTTTTTGTGTTTCCTTATAAGCCCAAGCTTGGTGTTATTAAATTAATAATCATGGTTTTTACTTACTTAATTTTGGTCAATTTTTTACTTCGAGCTACACATTTAGGCTTTTTTTCATAAATAATACTGTTTTCAAAAATATTTTCTAAAATAGTACCTCTGCAACTTTATTTACACAACTAGCACTGTTTACTGTTCACGTAATAAAATAATATTATTTTGCACAACTGTTTACTGTTCACGTATTAAAATAATATTATTTCGCGCAATGAACTCTCGCTCAAGCGAAGAAACCCTTCGCTTGAGCGAGGAAATCCGTAAGAACGCAGTTATCTCTAGTCAACTATCGCTCAAGCGACAGATATTTCGCTTGAGCGATAAGTGATTAAAATATGTGGTGACCCAAGTTGCGTTATGTGGCTAACTGCGTTGGACGTTTAGCCAAATAATGCAACTTGGGTTTAGATAGCGGTTCTAGAACTAACCGCTATTAAAACTATCTTTTAGATAGCGGTTAATGTGGAACCGCTATTATATGTTACTTCTAAGAGCGATTATAACGTGAAATAATCGATCATAATTTTAAAATAATCCACATATAATAGCGGTTCCACGTTAACCGCTATGTAAAATATACTTTTAATAGCGGTCAATTCTACAACCGCTATCTAAAATCTCGGGTAAATTCTAGCTCAAGCGACGGTAATTTCGCTTGAGCGAGAAGTGATTGAAATATGTGGTGACCCAGGTTGCATTATGTGGCTAACTGCGTTGGACGTTTAGCTATGGTCAATTCTCGCTTGAGCGAGAAGTTCATCGCTTGAGCGAGAAAACCTGCAGGTGAACCAGGTTGCATTATATGATGTTGCTGAAAGGGGAGTTTGTTCTGTTTATGAAATTATCTTGTGTCTGTATTGTTTTACCTGGAGCTGACTGTAATTGATTCATTGAAGGTGAATATGGGGATGATAGCATGTAAAGAGAATTTAAAATTTCTTGACTGATGGTTGGTTGGTTACTCAGGGTTAAAGTGCTTGAGGTTGTGGGTCTGTCAAGCATCAATTCTGTGGAGTGGCTTAGAATGATCAAAGAAGTGTTTTTACAGTATTTTAATCGATACAATACCCTGTAGAACCCATTATGACCGATCAGATTTGAAATATGAGCGATCAGAACTTATTTCAATCGATTAAAACACGTTTCAATCGATTAAAATCACTTAAAGGGTCAGAATGATCGATCAGAATGCAGTTATGACCGATCAGAGTTGGTTATGATCGATCAGAATTGAATTATGACCGATCAGATCTGTTTCAATCGATTAAAACGCATTTCAATCGATTAAAACAACTTGGAAAAATTTGGTACAAAGTTTTAATCGATTAAAACTCCTTTTTATCAGCTAAAATAACTTGGAAAGTTTTATAAGAAAGTTTTGCAGTATATCAATCGATTAAAACAAGAAACAATCGATTAAAATTTCTTGACTGATGGTTGGTCATTCTTGTTATATTGAGTTGTATGACTGATATGTGCATCAATAGTTAGCAAAAATTTCCTTAAATAACCTTTGATTTCATCAAACTGAAAAGATCTTCGTTTTATCAAATGATTCAATAAGATCTTCATCACTTTCAATTAATTGAAAAACTCCTAAGTTTCATACATTGAGACATTTCTTAACTAACACAATCTAATGATGCGAAGTAGATGCACATGCATCATTAGGACATGTTCTTCTGCTATGACCAGGGGTATGACAATATGAACATTTTTTAATCATACTTTGATGTTTTGTAATGTCCATCTCAGTTCTTATACGACTTGATTTTGGTCGGCCCTTTGAAGTTCTTTTCATTTCTGGATTTGCACACAAAGTAGGTCCTGTGTATGTTGGCCAATATTCTTCATTTCACAATAACCCAAATTGTGTTCCATATACCTTTGAAACTTGTTGTAAGGTATACACTGAATTAATATAGTTGTTGAAGTCATGGTGTGCATGCTTGCATGCAGCAAGAACATGTGAACAAGGCATGTGAAATTTTTGGAATTTCCCACAGTCACACCATAACTCATCAAGGTGAACTGCAAACTTCCCTGCTGGTCGAACTTCACGCGGGTTTTGTGTTTCTTGTACTACAAATTTTGTGGTAGACCTGTCAAACGTTATGACCTTGTGCGTGTTTGTCTGTGTTTGTGCTTCCTCTAAATTTTTGACCAAAATTTCAGAGTATACATGACCAGCATTGATCATGACATCTATCTGCCTCCCTCTTTCAATGAAAAATTTGTTGCAACGGGTGTACGTTGCGGTGACCATGGAGCAAATAGGTAGATTTCTTGTTTTTTTCAAAACAGAGTTGATAGACTCTGCTATGTTGGTCGTCATGTGGCCCCAACGTCGCCCATTGTCCCATGCAAGTGCCCATTTTTCTCTAGGTATCTCATCCAACCAATTAGCTGCTTGTATGTCACATTGCCTCAAGATGTTGTAATAATAGTAGAATCGTGGTTCAGTCATCCCATACGCTACAACAATATTAAAAAAACATAGTTAATATAAATATTTATTAGCAACAATTAAATAATGAATAAATTGTAACAAATTTGAAGCAAAGGAATTACCCATATTTACAACATCTTTCCTCAGTGCGGTGTTTTTGAAATGTCTCATAAAATTCTGTGCAATGTGTCTAATGCAGTAGACATGCATTGAATTATTTTCTGTCCATCCGCTTCCATTTCTCATGTATGCACTTCTAATGGATTCATGTCGGTCTGATATGAGGCATAATCCTTGCTGGGGTGTGACATATCTTTGAAGGTTTTTTAAGAAAAAAAACCAGGCATCACTTGTTTCACCTTCAACCACTGCAAACGCAATGGGGAGGATGTTGTTGCGGCCATCTTGTGCTACTGCAACCAACAAGGTACCTCTATATTTTCCATACAAAAAAGTTCCGTCCACTTGAACAATGGGCTTGCAGTGAACAAATCCATCTATGCATGACCTAAACGCCCAAAACACACGTTTAAAAATATTTGAATTTTGTTGAAGGACTTCACCTTGGTAAGCTGGTTGTGACTGCAGTTTGTAGATGAATCCGGGAACAAATTGTTGCATCGCTTGTAACAAACAAGGCAACTTCTTATACGAATCCTCCCAATTGCCGTAGATGATCTCCACTGCCTTTTGTTTTGCCAACCAGGCCTTCCTGTATGTTATAGTGTAACCCGTTGTTAATTGGATGTGGGCTATGATTGTGGATATTGGTGTTGACGAATCAGCATCAATTATTTGACCAATTGTTTGGGAAATCATTTTATATCCCAACTTGTTGTGGTCTTGGTTGATTACTGGCGAAACGCATGTATGGTGCCCTTCAAGCTTCATAATCTCCCAATATTGCTCTCTTGTGCGCAATATTGCTCGACATCTCCAATTGCATTGGTTATCACCACATTCAACAACATATCTACTTTGGTTTGAAATTTTCACCTTGTATGTGCAGTGATTGACAATGTGAAAACGGTTGATGACATCTTGAACTTGTTCTTTTGTTATGAAACGTTGTCCAAGAAATAGAGTTCCTGCCGGAGAAACAAAAGACTCTCTGTCCAACGCATGACCATACTCTGGGTCTTGTTGTAGAATGTGATTTTCAAAGTTAAGAAAATGTTGTGGTGGGTTGTATGGTTCCATGAAGTTTTGTGCATGTGTAGGGATATGTGGTTGTTCGTCCTCTGAATCATCTTGGTGTTGGCTGAGAATTTCATCTTCGTCTTCATCCTCACTAAAAGGATCAACGACTTCAATTGGGAGGCCAACAATTTCGTTCTCTTGTGTGGGTAGTCCTTCGTTGATGTTGGTGGAAGGGCCACTTAGAAGTTGGGTAAAAGGGATGTAGTCATTATGTGTGGGTATTTCTGGGTGAGTGTTTGGGAAAGCTTGGTAGGGTAAGGGTGAAATTTCTGGTGACTATGTGTTGAGGTATGAAGAAGAAGAAGTTTTAAATGAAACAAAAATTTCAATACCACATAGACTTGAGTTTGAATCATGAACATCGAACATGGCCTCCACGTCGTCATCATCTTTTAACTCAACAGCAATGAAGTTGTTGATCCCAACTCCGAGTCTAGTTGGACAGTGAAAATGGATGGTTGCTACATTTTCGTGGGGTTGTTTCTCCAATTTCTTGTGGATCAACTTCTTCAACCTTTGTAGAGAAATTCCTCTCTTTAAAGGAACAAGTTTTGCAGTCCCATTATTGAAGGTCACTCCCTCCATGGGACATGGGTTCATGAAACCATCATAGTGGACAATAGTAGACACTACACCCATTTTAGGAGTGTGGAACACAAAGAAGACTAAAGGTAAGAAGAAGAAATAATGCAAATAGCTTCAGAGATTTAGGAGTGTGCAATGTGAGAACTTCAAAGAATGAAAGTAGTCTATTTATAATGAAGTCCATTGCTTTGAATCCAATGCTCCCTCACATGGTTTCTGACGCACACAAAACCCAAGCAAAGTGGGTGGGTCAACATCTCTTTAAATATGTTTGGATTCTTCTGCTTTTGTCTAACCCAATGCAGGGAATCCAAGATTGGAATCCTAACTTAGGTGGGTAACTCAGCATTGGATTCTTTACTTGTGTGCATCAGAAAGACATGGGAATCCTGACTTGGGTGGGTGACTCAGCATTGTAAATAGTTGCAGGTTTTCTCGCTCAAGCGATGGTTTTCTCGCTTGAGCTAAAATTGACCAAGCTAAACGTCCAACGCAGTTAGCCACATAATGCAACTTGGGTCACCACATATTTCAATCACTTATCGCTCAAGCGAAAGTACCCGTCGCTTGAGCGAGACAGAACCCGAGAGTCCCCCTTGTTTGAAGGATTCATCGCTCAAGCGATGACTTTGTCGCTTGAGCGAGTTTTTACCGAATGATGAAACGTCAAACGTAGGTAGCCAAATAATATAACTTGGTTCACCACATATTAGAATCACTTGTCGCTCAAGCGTTCATAACGTTGCTTGAGCGAGACAGAACCCGAGAATCACCCATTTTTCCAGGTGTCCTCGCTCAAGCGATGTGTTTTTCGCTTGAGTGACCTTAGATAGCGGTTCTAGAACAACCGTTATTAAAAGTATATTTTACATAGCGGTTAACGTGGAACCGCTATTATATGTCAATTATTTTTAAAACTATGATCGATTATCAATTTATTCGCTCAAGCGATGAGTGTCTCGCTTGAGCAAGAGTTGCCCACAGTCCAACTATATGTCTCACTTTTAAGAGCGGTTTATATTTTAACCGCTCTTAGAAGTGAACATATAATAGTGGTTCCACGTTAACCGCTATCTAAAATATATTTTTAATTGTGGTTAGTTCTAGAACCGCTATCTAAAGTCTCGGGTCAACTCTCGCTCAAGCGACGCATATTTCGCTTGAGCGAAAAGTGATTGAAATATGTGGTGACCCAAGTTGCATTATTTGGCTAAACGTCCAACGCAGTTAGCCACATAACGCAACTTGGGTCACCACATATTTTAATCACTTATCGCTCAAGCGAAATATCTGTCGCCTAAGCGAGTGTTGACCGGAAATAACCCTTTCTTACGGATTTCCTCGCTCAAGCGAAGGGTTTCTTCGCTTGAGCGAGAGTTCATTGCGCGAAATAATATTATTTTAATACGTGAACAGTAAACAGTTGCGCAAAATAATATTATTTTATTACGTGAACAGTAAACAGTGCTAGTTGTGTAAATAAAGTTGCAGAGGTGCTATTTTGGAAAATATTTTTAAAAACAGTATTATTTATGAAAAAAAGTCACACATTTACTTTATCTTATCATATCAACAAAAAAATTCATACACTCACTATTGGATATTGATTAAAGAATACTAACAAACACATCCTTTACAATGAATGACTCAATTAAATAATCTACAAAAAAATTATTTTAATTCTTAGTATTTAATTTATCCTATATTTTATGTTTCTGAAATTATCCCTAGCATTAATTAGTCAACTTTTTTTCAAATATTTTTATTAATTTTAACTATTTTAATATCTTTCTCATCCTTAATACATTTTTTTATTAACTCACAAGGTTTATAAAATGTTCCTTATATACATCATGTTTAGACCAAAAAAAATCAGAAGATATTCTAGGTTGATTTTTATGAAATTGTTTTTTTTTTTTAATTTATTTTATAATGACACGAAATACACACTAACAATTATAGTACAAGAGTAATTTATATCATTTATTTATGATAATATCGTTAGGATTAATTTCTATATCCGAGGAATAATGTTCCAGTTAGGATTAATTCTTAAGGGATAACGAGAATGTCTCACCCTCATGTCAATTATGATAACATTGTTAGAATTAATTTAGGATAACGAGAATATCTTATCCTCGTGTTAATTATCATAACATCGTTAGAGTTAATTCTTGCATCCGAGATATTGTCCTCATGTCATCCTCATGTTAATTATCATAACATTGTTAGAATTAATTATTGTGTCTGAGATATCGTCCTCATGTCTTGTATATGAGGTATCGTTCTCATGTCAATTATGATAATATCGTTAGGATTAATTCCTATATTCAAAGTATCGTCTATTTTAGAACTCTAATATATTACGATTTTGTTCTTAAAAGACATCTTGATGGGTTAAGAAAGAATGGTGTATATAAATCATCTTTGACCTCAATTCTTAAGTGATATGAGACTAATGAGCATACCTAGAAACAAAATCATTTTTATTTTATTTTATTTTTAGCCGATTACGAATAATAATAATAATATAAATAGGATCAAATAAGTGAAAAATGGACAATGACAAATTATATTAAAATACATATATTCTAAAGATGCTACTAACACACACAAAAAATACTATTTCAATAAAGTTCTTTGTTGTTTGAACCACAATTTTCATTGATTTTATGTACCAGTTTCTCTTTTATACTTGATAATTAACATTTCCAATAATTTATATTTCTTGCAATTATGCTTTTTGCAATTTACAATTTTTTGTCATTTATATTTTCAGTAATTTATTTTTCCTTCTAATTTACCTTTTTCACTTTAAATTTTCAAATCTCTCTGGTTATTTTTATGATTTTTTTGTTAAGTAATTAATTAATGACTAAACTAATATTAAAAATGCAAGTTTATGGTAAAAAAAATGTTATAAATTATAAACATATTCATCAAATTAATATTAATATATGAAAGATTTATGCTAAATATGAATTTCATATTAATTATTACGAAAAATATTGATCAATGTATTTATTTCCAAGTCTAATTAAAACATTCTCTAAATTGAAAAACAGATATATTCTTTTTTTTTAAGAAAAGATATTATTATTTGCTTCTTGAATTTAAGAGATGTAGTTTAATTTATTTTCTACAATAAAAAATATTTAATATATAATCTTTTAACTAATTTTATGCTCAATATAATACTTGAACAAAACTGTAAAACGTTTAATAATAAATATAGAAATTTAAATTATTATTATTATTACAATATTAAAATGAACTATTAAATGAATGTTTAAACATAGTATAATCCTTATTTTATACATTTCTTATATTTAGTTTTCGATAGACATATTTTTTGCATAATAATTTTTGTACATCGTCTTCTGTTTTGAGTAACATCTTTATTTTTAAAATATTTATAAACATTTAATTGATAATTTGATAAAAAAAATTACAGAAGCATATGCTGACTTGATCGAATTCAAAGTCAGAATAGCATTGTATTAATCACCTTCACTACTCCAAACACCGTCTAATGTTCTATGCATGTCATTCGGCTTCTTCATATCGTAATCTGGCATTTTAGGTCCTTGGCTGGCCCAGGCCTGCCTCCATCATTTTCATCAACTTTTGTTGGCCTTCTTATTCTTATTTTCTTATCTTCCTTTTGCTTTCCTAAAGCCTCTACCATATCTATATAAAGCAGATAATTGGCAACAACATTTATCAATCTACCGTCACGTTAATTTAAGAGTTCAGATTTCACAACCATGGCCATGAACAACTCAAAAAACCTTCTCTCTCTTCTCACCATCATCGTTTCCTTCCTTGGCCTCACCCAAAAAGTGAAGTCAGCATCTTTCTCATTCCCCAGTTTTGGGTCGTACACAAACGCCATTACCCTCCAAGGTGATGCCTATGTTTCAGAAGGGGCCATAAACCTTACACCTGTGGCACCCAACAACGCTGGTCGAGCGTCCTATGCTGCACCCGTCCACCTTTGGGATGCTAAAACTGGGAAGCTCGCTGCCTTCAACACAACCTTCTCCTTTGTTGTTGCGCCAAACGGTCCTGGATTATTTGGAGACGGCATTGCCTTCTTCCTGGCTCCGTTCAACTCCAACATCCCAAATAATTCATATGGTGGATTCCTTGGACTTTTCACTCCCGACTCTGCCCTAAACGTATACCAGAATCAAATAGTGGCTGTGGAATTTGACTCCTTCGGCGGCAACCCCTGGGATCCTCCCTCTGCCCATATAGGCATTGATGTTAACTCCATTGCTTCGGCGACAACGGAGAACTGGGAACCTAACAATGCTGGAAACGAGGTCGTTGCATATGCGAGTGTGATGTATGAACCTGTTGGCAAAACTTTGGAAGTGGATTTAAAATACCCTGGAACAAATGTGACCGTGAGTAGGCTCTCGTTTGTGATTGATTTGAGGACTGTTCTGCCGGAATGGATTAGGGTTGGGTTCTCGGGTGCCACTGGACAATTGGTTGAAATACACAACATTCTTTCTTGGACCTTCGCTTCTACCTTCTATTAAGTTTGTCCCTTATCGTCAATGGCTAACAAGTGTCATTGATTTAATTTTTCTTTTCCACAAAAAAAAAGCCTGATGTTGGTTATTATTAGGTTGCTTATAACTTATAAGTGACATTCTTTTCTACTTTATTCTCAATAAAATTGACATTGAATGAAATTCAATTTGCCAGCATTGAGTTTTAAGGGGTGGATCCCAGGTTACACACTAATTCAATGACTATTACACGCAAATAGTTTATTTATGGTTAAATATTACATTTAATTTATATATAAGTTCAGTAATTAAATATCTCTTTATTATATATCTATAGAAGAAACATTTTGAAAGTATATATTGCTACTAAATAACTCATTTATACATATATGTTAACCAATATAAATATGTTTTGATTTATTAATAATTTAAGTAATAAGTATTTTTTTATTATAATTAACAATTATGTTAACGTATTAACGAGATATTCACGTCTTTTATCCTGATAAGAAGAATGCATGTGTGTTCTAGAAACTAATTAGATTAAATTTCTAAACTTTTCCTAAAAACATTCAATATCTTCAATCATTTGAGGATTATTCATGTCTATTTATAGACTTACATAATTAATTGTAACGCTTAATAATAATGTTAATAATTGATGAGACTCTTAGATCTCACGTAGCGATAAATCATGGACAATGTATGAAATACATCAAAGTCAGTTGAGGATTGTCTATATATCTACCATTTGTCTTCCTTGTGATTCAACATTGTTTAGAAACCTAATAAGTGGATTGACGACTATGGTTATTCTATTAATTAACACTAGATATAATCAGTTTCTTATTCTTGTCTCATACTTATAAATAGTTATTCAAATATTGATCTATCCTTATTTATACAATGTTTATTAAAGACTTGTGTTACAACGTGTATATAGATTTTACCCAAACTTTGAATGACAAAGGATACTGATAAGGAAACAAATAGTATTTTCTAACATGTTTGGATTAGTAATATATACTTAAAGGATTGTTTATATATTTTATTATGTGTTACTAGTTACTAATTATTCTCACTAATAATTTCTAATTATATAGGACTCCCACAAAACATTATGATGTTATTTTGTTTATTAGACAACAACATTATAAAAAAGACATGAAATCATAATTTGAATTTTAATCTTTAAAATTTAATACATTATTGATTTTCAATGTATACATTATATATATTATGAACCTATACTAGAAAATGAAGTCTTTATATTAGTTATTTTAAACATTTTAAATCGTTGGTAAAATTGATATACAGATACTATCAATCTAAAAAATTATAACTTTCAATATTAATTGTCAAATAATATATAAAAATGACATATTCTATCAATTATCTTAACAATCAATATAGTATATTTTTTATTTAAAATTTGAAAAAAAAATTATAGACTTTTCTACATTGATTGTTTTTACAATTGATGTAAAAAGTATAGATATAGTATGTTTACTTTAACCAATTAGTTATTTAAAATATTTGTATTAATAAAATAAATTAATCTTATAGCTAAATATTTATTTTATATTAAAAATTCCTATGGGTAAATATTTATTTTATATTAAAAATTTCTATAGGTAAATATTTATTTTATATATTGATTAATTGCTTGAAATAATTTAAATTTAAATTATTAAATCGAAAGCTGGAATAGCTCAGTTGGTTAGAGCGTGTGGCTGTTAACCACAAGGTCGGAGGTTCAAGCCCTCCTTCTAGCGTTCTTTCTTGTATGTTTTTACCATTTTTTATCTTATTTATGCCTTTTATTTTTACCATTTTTGTTTAACTTTTTTACCATTCTACCACATTTTTGTCTTATCAGAAAGTTATGAAAAACAAAAATAAGTTTATTGATCAAATACTTACCCTTGGTTCATATCCTTAAAAGAATGGAACATAAGCAGCAAAAGATTCAAAAAAATAGTTGAATGCTCTGGTGGCAAGTGGCAACATCTGTTTCAAGCATTTGAGTTACCCTATCACCTTTCATGTCAATTTGTGGCCAAGAAACCGCAGTTGTGGATTGGGCTTTCAAGGCCTACGTTATTTCCAATATATGTGCATCTAAATTTTCATGCTTTCTTCGTTTATTTCCACAAAAAAACTTTATACGTTTGCACATAATCATAAAGTCTGCATTTCATCTTCACCGTTCCTTTTGTTGTTTTCCATCATTTTTCTTTTCGAAGGAACCAAAATTTTTTGTCTATACACAATCGTAGTTTAGCTCATTACCTCTAATTTCCCCACCTGCCCTTATCGTACACTAATACTAAATTTCAATTTTGCTGTTAGTAAGTTAAGCTCTACCATTTTCATGTTCTAAAAATTTCTGAACTTGGATTATGAGATTAAAGGCTCATCAATTCATACAATAATAAAATATATATTCGATGGTGGTATACAACATTATCATTCAATTATAAATCTACAATTTTTTAAATTATTATTATATGAGTCAATAAAAGAATTTAAGACCATTAACATTATTATTATTATTATTTTAAAAAATAGTGAAAGGTCCAAAAGAATCTATCTGTGGGTCCCTGGGCATGGCGCCATGCCAAAAAACGAACGTGAGCAGTGGGTGGGATTGGGATAACAAGGCATTGAACGAGTTCGTCTTCACAAACACACTCTGTGTCTCTCTGTGTCCGAGAAATGGCGATGGCAATGGCGCTTCGCAGGCTTTCATCTTCGATCGACAAGCCTCTGCGCCCTCTTTTCAATGCTGGTTCCATCTACTTCAAGGTCTTCTCCCTCCCTCTCTTCTTCATACTCTTAATCTCTCCTCATAATCTCAATTTTGATTTTTCTTTTCTTTTCACTTTTGTAGTCGTCTTTGCCTGACGAAGCTGTCTACGATAAGGAGCGACCCGGAGTTACGGTGTGTTAATCTTTATGTTATGATTAATTTCACGTTCTAAAGCTATCCATTCATTATTTAATGAAGGAAATATCGCGCCTTTGCAGTGGCCCAAGCAGTTGAATGCTCCACTGGAGGCTGTTGACCCTGAGATTGCTGATATTATTGAGCTTGAGAAAGCTAGACAATGGAAGGTATGCATATAATCATTTTATGGTCATGTATGTGTACGGTGTTTCCTAATTAATTTAGGATTCAAACTCTTTTATTTTATAAGTTATGATGTATAGTATATATTTTGACTATTTTAGCTTTACATTTGGGTGTACTGTGAAGGGGCTGGAACTGATACCCTCAGAAAATTTCACATCTTTGTCTGTCATGCAAGCGGTTGGGTCGGTTATGACCAACAAATACAGTGAGGGGTATCCTGGTGCAAGATATTATGGTGGAAATGAGTATGTCTCACTCACTTTTTGCAGCTACTTATTTTCATCATCAGGTTCCTCTGAAGTGACTAACTAGAGACTAAAACAAGTAATTTAGTTCACCACAAAATGAATAATTTATATTTAGTGCACATGCTAGATAGAGAAGAGTGTTAGCAAACAATACACTTTCTGTACATTATTCAATAAAACTTATTAATAATTGGTAGTGAAACTCATTAAATAATGAGTAATCCATAATTTTCATGATTTTTGATGAATTTCAACTAATTGTACATAATCTTTTAAAAATAACTTACTCTATACAAATTATTAATTTTCGTAATCATATTATTAATATACATTATCATCAAATTTGTCAATAACTAACTTTTATAATCATTAATTTTTATCGAAAACCTGACTCAACTGATCATCTTCAACTCGAATTCGCAAAATTTACTTAGGAGACCAGTGCCACATTGAGGAATGACTTGTTGATATACAAATTATGATTTTTTTTTGTAGAAGATCAACAGTTAATTTTCTTACCGTGAGTATTACTTATTTTATCTTTTCTTGCTTTAAAAGAATCAAATCCGGTTCAGTAACTCATCAATGAGCACTATGATGTATATATAGTGGTTAGCAATTGGGATTTATTCTACACTGAAAAATTATTGATCTTTCGTTTTCAGGTATATTGACATGGCTGAAACACTGTGTCAGAAGCGTGCCCTGGAAGCGTTTAGATTGGATCCCGCTAAATGGGGAGGTAAACACACAAAGACGACGAAAAAATAGCAGCACAAAAATGAAATACCCTGTTCTCTATTTTTTGGGTTTTAGTAGAATGTACTATTTTTCTTCTCTTGTAATTAGCATGCAAGGGAATGTGTCTATTAATTGCGAGTTGTTATTGTTTTTGAAGCGTGGTAATACTTTTTCTACATAACTATGAACTTGTTTTACACATGCTAAGATTGAACTCAAAATAGGTTTCTAGAGGTTGCAGTCTGAAATGGGCTTTACTGGTTAAACTTTGAAATGATCACCCAGGAGCTTTCTTGATGTTCAATAAATTCATTGAAAGTATTAGGTGTTTGCTTAAGTCTTTTGATATATCATCGACACCCGTTTTAATTGCAGTGAACGTGCAGCCTCTGTCTGGGTCTCCCTCAAATTTCCATGTTTACACTGCATTGCTTAAACCCCATGAGAGAATTATGGCACTCGATCTTCCTCATGGTGGCCATCTTTCTCATGGGTATCAGGTACTTTGATGTTTGAACCTCCACCTTTTTTTCATCTTACTTTATTAAATAGCCATACATATATAGCAATATTGTCTTTTTATTTTATAAAACTTATACTTTTTAAAAATATTTAAATATTTATGTTCTTTTTGAGTTGTAAACTGTTAACTTGTGGCAATGAATTTATATTGTTTTCGTTTTCCAGACAAGCTCTCTTAATTGATTTTAAATTCATGCCAGAAGTTTTCTCAAATCTCAATTCATTTAGTGTCTTCCGTTTATCTACCACTAATATTGCTGCTATTACTATGCAGACTGATACCAAAAAGATATCTGCAGTCTCCATATTTTTTGAGACAATGCCATATAGATTGGACGAAAGTACAGGATACATAGACTATGACCAGGTATCGTTTCTGGGTATATTCTGTCATGGTACTGTTGGCTACATTTCATCGATATATTCGTGTCACCCTTGTATGCCATCTCAAGGATTTTGTAATGCGAAAATCTTGAATTGCAGTTGGAGAAAACGGCTACACTCTTCAGGCCAAAATTAATTGTTGCTGGAGCCAGTGCTTATGCACGTCTGTATGATTACGCACGTGTACGCAAGGTAACATGCATGCACAAGTATACGGTATTGAATGATTTTATAAATAGATTGTATGTTAATTTTTTTATTTTTTATTTTTACTTTGAAAGATTGGATGGAAGTGCCAAGGTTATAAATTCTTGAAACATGTTACAGGTTTGCGATAAACAGAAAGCTATATTATTGGCAGATATGGCACACATCAGTGGATTGGTTGCAGCTGATGTTATCCCATCACCTTTTGATTATGCAGATGTAGTTACTACTACAACTCATAAGTCACTTCGGGGACCACGAGGAGCTATGATATTCTTCAGAAAAGGAGTTAAAGAAATTAACAAACAGGGAAAAGAGGTAAATTCCTAGGCAAAATTAATTTGAAATTATTACTCTTAAATTTCAGTTTCATCGATAGGATATTTTGTGTTGTTTCCAACTTGAACTGATGTTTATTCATAACAGTAATTCTTCATTTAATTTGAAGGTTTTCTACGATTATGAGGACAAAATCAACCAAGCTGTTTTCCCTGGACTGCAAGGTGGCCCTCACAACCATACTATTACTGGTTTAGCTGTTGCATTGAAGCAGGTAAATAAGTGGAGAAGGTCGAAATATGATTTTCACTCTTACCAGTGTTTCAATAGTGACAGACTGAGATGGAAGGGCTGTGATGTGACACTGTTTTTCTTCATATTTTTGTATCCACTTACAGCTACCAATGACAATCAAATGGTTTTGTAAAAAGATTTTGCTCGTTACTTTATGCAATCCATAGAACTAGAACACATGCCAATGCGTGGAGTGAACAAGTCTTAAATGGGCATTAGTTTGTAGCTTCAAAAGTGTAGCCAAAAATAGTTCTCCACGCATTACTTGGAAAGCAGATTCTCTGGAGTCATAACTTATTTTCTACTTAGTAAATAATTTATATTATGGGATTTTGTATGTGCTCTGCATATTTTTATCTGATGACCATGAATATCTCTTTCTCTTTGTTGTTGTGGATGTAGGCTACTACTCCAGAATATAGAGCATATCAAGAGCAAGTTCTCAGCAATAGCTCAAAATTTGCACAGGTACCTTATAAAAGAGATCGTCCTTTTCTTTTTTATTTTGGATCTTAATCCGCTAAGTGGTTACAAATTGCATTTTCATATACAAGAACTTAATCTGTACATAACACTGAAATATTAATATGTTACAGGCTCTGAGTGAGAGGGGATATGAGCTTGTTTCTGGAGGAACTGAGAATCATCTAGTTTTGGTGAATCTGAAAAATAAGGTAATGGGAATCTGCTTTGGTAATTCATCTAAACTTCAACAAATCTGAATAATAAATCGTGACTTCTACTGCTGGTTGTTTGTGCTCTAGGAATGAACAAAATTAGCAATATATAACTAGAAAGACATACAAATTCATTCTCTTTAAGGTTTTGGATTTAAGTTCATGTTATTACAAGATAGATTCATGACCCCTTGATAACATAATCTCCGCGGTGTTTTCTCTTGGAGAATCCAACACGGCAAAATAAGCAACAGTTTATTTTTTATTCCAAACGGTCAGTAAAATAGACAACTTTTTATTTTTGAATGTGCAGGGTATTGATGGCTCCAGGGTTGAGAAGGTGTTGGAAGCAGTTCATATTGCGGCTAATAAAAACACTGTTCCTGGAGATGTGTCTGCTATGGTTCCTGGTGGCATCAGAATGGGTACAGGCTTTGTTCTTTGTATTACAATTTTCATGTCTCTCTGTCACTCAAATGATTTCTTTTCTGGAATTCAGGAACCCCTGCTCTTACTTCTAGAGGATTTGTTGAGGAGGATTTTGTTAAGGTAGCAGAGTTTTTTGATGCTGCAGTGAAGTTGGCTGTGAAGATTAAGGCAGAGAGCAAAGGTTCTTAGATTTTCATTATCCTTCCTGAATTTTCGTTTGTCTCTTTATCTGGACAGGGCTGAAAAAATTATTTTTAAGTTCATTCGGTTAGCTTGTTAGGTGCATACTAAGCTAATATGTGGTTTCTGTTAAAATTTTTTAATCAGGAACGAAACTGAAGGACTTCTTGGCCACAATTCAGTCATCTTCTACTATACAATCAGAGATAGCAAAACTCCGCCATGATGTTGAGGAGTATGCAAAACAATTTCCAACAATTGGTTTTGAGAAAGCAACCATGAAGTACAAGAATTGAGAGAAGAAAATTTCCATCAGGTATGCGTTATTCTTTACTCATTTTATCATCCGTTTACTCATTTTCGTTTGTCCCATATTTGTTGACAAGGTCTTACAAAACAAGAGGTAGTTAGTTAGTTGGACACAACTGAAAAATAGTGCACTAGACTCTTTGTTCATGTCTCCTTCAAATAGCTTGTCCACGTTATGTACTCACATTTCATTTCATATTGTCCACTCAAAGCTTCAATTTAGAGGAAAAGAAAAGCAAAGTGACACAAATAAATAGTTGTCATTAATCTCTTATAGATTTAAAAACTGATTTAAATGAGTGATTTTTAACTCACTTTTCTTTTCCAAGACAGGAAAAGCTTCAACTATTTGACATTTCTAGCATCAAGTTTTCTCAACTGGAATAAACTTCGTCTGATGTTCTCTAACAGAAGTTAGTTTGCAATGTGACAGGTCATCCAATGGTCTTACTGGGAAAGCAATTCAACATGATCAGTTTTCCTGATTCATGGTAGAGGACGACAACATATGCTTTAACAAAATGTCAAAAGCCTTTATATGTATGAATCCAGAAAATCTTGATCGTTATGTTCTTGAAATGTATAGATACATATGTAATAAAGGCTTCAAATACCAAATTTCCTAAATAGATTATTGTTGAACCTACCCTTTTAATGGGGTTACTACCGATCATAAGAAGTGATTGTATCTTCTACAAATTTTGCCTCCTCCACTGCATAGAATCCCACTGAATGCTGATGTTAATTCTTTTACCACATTCATTATATTCCTTAAAATATGTAAGGCAGTTATGGCGGTTTCAATGACTTTGAATACCTTTGTCTTCAGGAGCCGCAAATGTTAGCCATAATTTGTCTCTGCAGGGAATGTACAACACACGTTAACACTTTGTTTGCATCAGAGATTAAATTCGAAGAAGCGGAAAAGGTGAGAAAGAAAATGAGGAGTGAAGTTTGGATTAGGAGAAAAGAATATAAATGAGTGAAAAATAAAATAAATTTATTTATTATTTTAATATAATTTTTTAATTATTTATTATTATAACAAAATAAAAATATATATTAAATAAAAAAATTTCAAACATAATCGATTATAGGTTATCATAATCGATTATGTTTGGAAATATATACTTTCTTCGCTTTTCTTTGGATACGAGAGAGGAGGAATTTTTTTTCAATTTTCACAACTTCATACCTAAAAATGCGTGGAATTTGTGCATTTTTGCGCCTCTCGTCTTTTCATCGTTAGACACATACAAGGGCTAAAAGAAAACAAGGAAAATGAGAAAAATAGAAATTGAAGAAAACTAAACATGCTTGAAAATAGAATTGATAGATCGTAAAGAGAAGTAAACATAAAAGTGAAGGAAAGAAATAAACGAATTTTGTTAAAGGAATAGAAATGCAGGAATTGAAAGAGATGTGTGAAGTAATGCTGAACTAAATTGTTTTTAGCACTTCAATTTTCAAAAAAAAAATCTCAAAATATGAAAATCTAAACATAATTTAAAATTTATCTTATATTATTTTTAAAATCTCATTCCTCGTATTATATAATAATACAGCTTGAACAAACAACATTTCATTTGTTTTCTTCGTGTTTTTGTTTGAGATTTCAAGTTCTTCCAATTTCAAAGGTGAAATATAAATAATAATAATAATAATAAATAGCAGTGTTTATTTTGAAAATATAAAAAATGAAAAAAAATAAGATTTAAAAAAATTCATTTTTCTTAATATTTTACATTATTTAAAAAAACAAATAAAAAAATTAAAAAGAAAAAGAAAAAATATCAAAAGAAAAAAAAGTAAAGAATTAAAAAAAAATATATGATGATGAAAAAAATAAAAAATAAGTGTTTGCTTGGTGTATTCTTCCCCTATTGCATCAAGGAAACACACGGCACCAGGGGTTGAAAGGGCGTTGTTGGTGAAAGTGTATTCAACTGCCTGTGTTCATTGACTTGCAGCTAAGAACGCTAAGAAGCGGAGGACCTAAAGAAAAAAGGTACATGAATAAGGATGAGTAATGGCTTCGTGAATCAATTCCATACACTCAATGAAAATAAAAATCGATTTTCGTTTCATGAAACTTCAGAGAATTAATTCAGTATATATCGAGAATAGATTCTTTCTCAATCGATTCTCTCCCCTCTCTCACTTATTCTCGCCCACCACCAATACATACCATATACACAAACCAAATCTCCACCACGAAGACTCGGCCTCATACACGTAGTTTGCATGTGGATGAGTAGACTTATCTGAAACCATTCCGCGCTGTGCACATTTAGGTGAATAATTCACTGCTAGCAACCGTTATGCGATGACATATATAATGATTGACATGAAACGCATGAATAGGGATAACAACGTAAATGTAATCTGTGTTTCTTTACTTTTCTCTTCGTTGTAGCGGGACACTTCATCACTCTGTCCCTCAAATCTACTCTTATAAATCTTTCCAAATAGATAGATCCACAAGTAATCCATCCTCCCTCTTCATCTACGTAAAGAGGATATAAACAAATCCAAACACAAGTTCAGAGTCCCTTTTCTTCTTGAAAAGACAGTGAATTAAGGAAATCTATCACAGGAAATGTAAAGATAAGAAAATGTCAAAGAAATGAGAATACTTAATTATCATCACTTAAGTTAGTCCAATAGATAAAAATATTCAAAAGAAATTAATAATAATAAATATCAGTATTTATTTTAAAAATATGGAAAAAAAATAGGATTAAAGAAAAAAATAAATTGTTTCTTTTCTTAATATTTTACATTATTATTTTTTTAAAAGAAAAAAATAGAAAGATAGTTTATTTTTCTTTGCATTTTACTCTAACACAAAAATTCAAAAAAAGACAAAAAAAAAAATAAAAAACAAAAGAAGGGAAATGAAAAAAAAATAGAAAAAATATTTTGAAAAAATATTTTCTTTTATTAATATTTTTTATATTTCAAGAAAAAAGAGAAATGAAAAAAAATAAGTATATATATATATATATATATATATATATATATATATATATATATATATATAAAGAGAAAATGAAAATAAAACTTTAATTAATCCTTCCCTTCTTTTTCACTTCGCCCAACCCAAATTTGTTCAACCTAATTTTCTTTTTCTCATGTGAAATTCCCTTTAAAAGGGACTTGAATAGTTAGAATATGGGGCCATACAAGCAAAAATACAACATTGGAGCCATTTTTTCAAGCACCAGATTTCAACTTTTTTTTTTTTCTCCTCTCCCTAGCACTGATTGGTGGCTTTGCTATTCATTCTGCTGAGACCCCTCCCACTTCACACGATCTCCCAACCTTCACTCACCTTTCATCTCATTCCCAATCCCCTCCCTCACCGGGTAATCACCTCCTCCTTGCCTTCTCCCCGCACTCACCCGCTCATCCACTTTCACCCTCATTTCACACACGGATCCAGCCTCCTTCACTCCACCAGCTTTCACCCACGCGGCACACATCCCTCTCTATCCCTCTCTGCGCATCCCATACGGCCTCACTCAACATCCCTAGCTTTCACCTCCATTACCCTCATTCGCTTCCATTTTCCAGACTTACTCTGCGCATCTTCTTCCCCGTCACAATAGCTACCTATTCCGCAACCACCAAACATCTAATTTCATTTTCCTCACCACGCCGCCCACCTTCGAACCTCCATTTTCACTCAATCTTCCCCTGCTCCCCATTTCCGGCCACTACCGAGACCCATCAGCAACACCGTGAGCCACCGCACCTCATCAGTCGGCCACCGCAAGCCAATCACGCCCAGCTCAACCACCGGAACCCAGCTCCGCCACTTCCAGCTATCCCCTCACCAAAACCATCTTCGCCTACTCCCCTAGCTCCGGCAGTCGAGCCACCGCGAACCACCGGCACGCCCGCGGTCTTCCTCCACCGGCTTTCACTGCTACTGTGCGGCCACCGCGAGCTCCCGCCCCTCTCCAACTAGAGCCCACTCAGTGGCTTTCCCAAATCGCCGCCGCCCAACCGCAAGCCATCTCCGTATCATCCCTAGCCGCGCTACCAGCCTCCCGGAGCCACCCAAAACCACAGCACGGCGAACCACCAGCGAACCCCCACCCACTCTCTCCGTTCCAGCCTTGTCACTGCGTGAATTGCCCTGCGAACGAAGACCCTGACGCGCACCATTTGAGCCGGGAAGAAGACGCGTCTTGCCGTTAGAAGCGGAGATGGTGGAGTAGCTATTGGACAGAGGCAGGAACCGAGAGAAGGAGCTTCTTGCTGTGGTGATTGTTAATTTCTTATCTGTTGGAATCTCTGCCTGGGACTGTGTATTGTGTTCTTTTATTTTCTTCTTTGTCTTGGTTGAATGAGGAGTTGATAGGGAATCTTGGTAGAACCTGGAACCGAGAGCCTGGTTTGTTTGTCTGGCTGCAGGTTGGTTTGGTTTGTTTTGATGCTGCCTTGTTTCCAATTTCTGGGTTGTAGCCTTCATTCTATTTTGATTTTGGTTTTGCACTATTTCTGATTTGGGTTGTTGAACGTCTCTGATTTGGATGGATGATCCGTCCTTGTGATTTTTTTTATGTTGTTTGTTATAGTTCTGGACTGTTAAGGGCTGTGGGTCCTGTGGTTGGAGTCATATTTCTGTCGATATGCTGCCAAATTTTCATTTAAAATGTGGTTCCAATGTATTTTTGGTTTTAGTCTCTTGTGGGTAGTTTGTCTGTATATGTCTGATTGTATGTGTCTCTGCAGGTTCAATCATTGTAATCTGGATTATGTCCTAGGTTGTAGATGTTTGGAATCGTTTTGTTGAATGATTTGGGTCTGTGTAGGAATGTCTTTGATTTAAATTGGGTTCGTCTGCCTTTGAATGCGTTTTAGCAGCTCCCGGCCCTTTTCGTTATTCTACTTAGCGGCTCCCGGCCCTTCTCGTTATTCGACTTAGCGGCTATCGGCCCTGCATTATTTGTTTTAGTGGGTGTTGGCCATCACTGTTGCGTAGGAATTCTTGCAATATTCTATAAATTCTAAGAGAGTTCGCAAGAATCACCAACTTGCCTTTATACAATAATTTCCCAGGTTTTAGTTCATAACTTAGGAAACTACCTATCGGCTCCACAACCCTTTAACAATCCCCTTCAACTTCACATCAACCATTACCTCATCTTCCAAACCCTCCCATTGTTGGCTATGAACTATATGCAGAATTGTATACTGCAGTCTTCTGGACAGAGCATCAACAACACGATTTTCAGTTCCAGGCTTATACTTCACATCAAAATCTTAACCCATCAACTTAGATAACCATTTCTTCTACTTTTCCCCGATCAATCGCTAGTATCTGACTAACTTAAGACTTTTTTTGTTAGTACGGACTATGCAATATCTTACCAACAACTAGTGTGTCCATTTTTTAGTATCTAAGATAATAGCCATTAATTCTCTCTCATATATGGACTTGCTCTGGCCTCAGGTAGACCATGTTTGGCTAATGTAAGCCACTGGTTTTCACTCCTGCATTAAGGCTGCTCCAATTCCATTGTCGGAAGTATCAGTTTCTAAAATGAAAGTCTTTTAAAAGTTAGGAACAAGTACAGGTAATGTAGTCACAACATTTTTTAGCAATTCAAATGCTTATTGAGCCTTAGGTCCCCAACTGAAATTATCTTTCTTTAGTTGCTAAGTCATAGGTCAAGCCATCTTCCCATAGTTTTTTACAAATCTCCTACAAACCAGTAATCCCTAAGAAACCTCTTAACCCTTCTATGTTTTTAGGAGTTGGCCAATTCACCATTGCACTTATTTTGTTTGGATCAGCAGCGACCCCTTCCTTAGAAATAACATGACCTAAATATTCTATCTTGGCTTGAGCAAAAAGACATTTGTTTTGGTTAGCTACCCACTAATTCGCTCTTAGAATTTCAAGGATCACTTGTCAATGCTTCAAGTGAGTCTCCACATCATTATTGTATATAAGTATGTCATCAAAAAAACACTTATACAACCTCCTGAGATAAGGTTTCAAAATATGGTTCATCAGGGCTTGGAAAGGGCTTGGGCCATTGGTTAGCCCAAAAGGCATAACCAAATATTTATAATATCCTTCATGCGTTCAAAAAGTTGTCTTGGGTATGTCTTCCTCTTTCATTCTAATTTGGTGATATCCAAATTTCTAATCCAGATTTGAAAATACTACCGCAACCCTTAACACATCTAATAACTCATCAATGATGGGGATAGGAAATTTATCTGGAATTGTGTTTGTTAAAAGCCCTATAATCTACACAAAATATCCACCCTCCATCTTTTTTTTCTCACCAAAATGGCAGGACTAGAAAGAGGACTTACACTTGGTATAATAATTCCAACTTGTCAATGGGGTGTAATATGTAATTCGACTAAAGAATTTATTTTTTATAATTTCAATGTAAGGTCTTCATTTCTATATGTTACCTTGTTTATGGCAAACATGACCCATGTGAACATATTTGTCTTTGTATCTTCTAAGTTGTGGGAAAGAAGCAATCAATTCCATCCAAAGCTCAGTTGACAGTTACATTGTTTCAGAGAGAGAAGATGCTGCCAAGGGCATTATTGGCCAAATTCATTCAAAAATCCTCCATTGTTTCTCCTTTTCAATTCAATCAGCAGGCATGTTACTATGTTTTTTTTCTGTACTATTGTCTTGTTGCAACATCTATGCTTATCTCAAGGATTTGGGAATTTTGCAGAGAGCATTGCATAGCAGGAATAAGAAAGCATTGGAGTTCATTGCTAAAGGCTGGAATGCTTTGAAGGAGGTTGATAGAGTTATAGATTATTGTGAGCTCAATGATAAGCGCCTCATTCCTCTTCTTAGGGTAATGAATGCTTTACCAACCTATTACTATTTACTTCTTATTTGAGATTTCATACAAGAGAAATGGAAAACTTACTTATTTGAGGTTCTATATTAGACAGCTAAGGAGAATTTTGAGCTTGCTTTGGAAGCTGATAACACCAATACCCATGCAAGGTATTGGTTGTCCAGATTGCATATGAAATACCATGTTCCTGGAGCTAATAAAGCTGTGTAAGAGAATTCTTTCTCTTAATTATGTCTTTTTTCTTTCTGCTCTTGATATACTACATGAATAAGTACAGAATTACTATGCCACACAATTCTATTTCTATTATTTATTTTAAATTAACATGAAAATCACAGCATGGAGCCTATGATTCCCTACAAAATTGTTTGAGTCAAGCTACTTTACGAGTGAATTAGCTAGAGTACCAATCCACAAGGGCCATGTATACGTTAGGCTTGGAAAGGAATGACTCAATACATTATAAATCTTATTTTGTGTTGTATGATGAAGTAGCTTTTAAGAAATTTTCTGCTGATTTTTTCTTTTTGTCATCAATGATGAATGACCTTCATGTCAATTTTGAGGTTTTATTATTAGCTGTTCTTTTTATAATTTTTTAAACAGTTTCTGTTGACTGTAGTGTACCTGTCCACTGACCAATGGTGACTATTTTGAGTTGTACTGTTGAAGTCACATAAAAAAAATAATCCAAATTATATCTACCACGAATTCTTGACCATATTTGCTCTTTCCCCCATGCAAACAGAGGGGCAGCATTATTGGTAGAAGCAGCAGAAATGGGTGATCCTGATGCACAGTATGCGTTGGGTTGTCATTTAAGAGTTGAGGTGAGGCACTCTTAACCCTTATATTGTGATGACATCATTTAAGTACATATATAGCCAACTATGAGTTTATGACTGTAATAATTTCTTAATGCTTCCCTGAGTTACTTAACGACTATCTTACTATTTGCAGAGTTATGATTTGGATTTTGTTCTGTGGTTATTAAATGAGATATATTATTACCTTGGGGTGAGAAATGATATGCTAAAGTGCAGAAAAAATGGTCTGACAGCGATAGAATGTATTCATAATGGTGAATTACTTGCAGTTTCTTGTTTCTTTACTTGCCTGATTATGAAGCATCTCTTCTTAAATTTACGTCACGGATTTGATATTGATGGTCTTTGATCTAAGTCTTTAAAAAATGTCATGAAAATCCAATTTAGTTACATGTGAGACAAAATCATGTACAATATAGAAACATAAAAGCATTGCCCCTTAATGAACCAAAAATAGAAATTGTCCTCTTCATGGATAATTTATAGAAACGAATGAGATTGATGCTATTCCTATTTGTGTAGTAAGTGATTTATGATGATAATGACTTATAATTTTTATTTTGGTTTTTGTAATGTTGAAGTATTTCTCAATTTGGGTTTACTGAATTGAAATTGTATACTTTTTATAAATACCTAAATATATACTCATCTTAAATGTATAGTACTCTATATATTTTTAGAATAGTTGTATGTCATATGAAATACATGTATGGTATTTATTCGTTATATATATAATGAATAGTGTTTATGCATAATTTGTTTTGTTTGATTTGATTGTATTAGATTTCTACGAAGTACAGTAGGAAATTTATACTATGTAATCTTCTCCACGGTTTTATGAGTTTTTTCCATATTTACCTTTTTGGATACATTGGGAAGAAGTATGAAGATCTAGAGAATCCTTTAGTTTGTTTGCTTTACTAAAATATTCTTTTGAAAAAATAATTTTGGAGACAGAATGACTATGTCCACTCTGATCAACAAGCTTTTTATTATTTGGAGAAAGCTGTGGACCAGGTACGTGACCCTATGGAAGGTGTCTTCTTACCTTGATTTCAGAAAGTTCATCTAAACCTTACTTGGACTATGTTATGTTCTAGTTGCATCCCGGTGCCCTATACCTTTTGGGTGCTGTATATTTGACAGGCGACTGTGTCAAGAAAGATGTTGCTTCGGCATTGTGGTGTTTCCACAGAGCATCTGAGAAGGTAATAAGAAAAAAAATATACCAATTAATCAGATTTAAGTCACTGGTTTCTATAAAATACTTGCATCTGGTTCTGCATTTTTTCTTGCTGTTGTTTTCTTTATGCTCTTTTCTCATTTGTCTGGTCAACAACATATATTGGAATTCAGATTGTTAAGGTTCCTACATAAAACCAATTGGTAATATATGGAGTAGTCTAACATGTATTTAAACCATACCAATTAGACTTTGAGTTCAACATATATTGGAATTCAAATTGTTAAGGTTCCAACATAAAACCGATTGGTAATATGTGGAGTAGCCTAACACGTATTTAAACCACACCAAATGACCTGAGGTAGGCGATGTGAGACTTCCAACACGCCCCCTCCAATGTAGTCTGTCAGGCAAAGGTTACTTTTGACCCACAACGAAAGGACAATTCTTGGCCCAAGACAATAACCAGAAAGATGTTAGGTTTTGGCTCTGATACCAAGTTAAGGTTTCAACATAAAACCAATTGACAATATGTGGAATAGCCTAACATGTATTTAAACCATACCAAATGACCTGAGGTAGGCGATGTGGGATTTCCAACACGGATATCATTTTGGTCCCATGCTATTTGGCTCACGCTTGCCCCTTAAGTGGATACATTACCTCACCTTACAGCTTTTGCACGGGCTTGAGATATCTGTAAAAAGCAAGCAGTTAAAGAACAGGGTGGGCTATTGATAATGTACATAGTGGTGTAGAGCAGTGGTTTCCCCCACTATAGAGCAGCTGTAGCAAGCATTCTCATGGTCACAATTGTGGTTGAATCTGATCATGGCACATATCACTCATTCTAGTGCTGTGAATCAGATGGTTTTCAAAATCACTGTTTTGCCCCTGATTCAGTGTCATTTTGGGGGATATTTGTGGCAGTTAAAATGACACTTTACTGTTGTTTAGACCTACATGAAAAACCTAACCCCCTGTACTCAGCAACCAATATGCCTGCAAGGAGCTAAACACGTACCTTTCTCTCTTCTCAATAGTCAATGTAGAAGAGATGAGAATGTTGCGGTTGATAATGGGAATGAATGCATTAAGGAAGAAGTTGGGATAGATCCGCTCATATAAAAGATGGCCAATGTGATTTGGTTAGGTGAATACTTATAAAAACCCAAATACGGACAGTAGATAAGATTAAGAATAGCCACATCACTAGAAGAGGAGGCTGAGAAAAACTATAGGCAATGACATATGACAGACAACCTTGCGGCGTTGTCTGATCCACATAGCTAACTCCATCTATTGGGAAAATACTTAGTTGCTACATGAATGATGGAGGGAACGGGAACATTTTGATGAATTCATAACTTTATTGTGTCCCTCTTAATCTACAAGAGTTTCAACCTAAATCGGTTTATTGCCTTTATGCCATTTGCACGTGTATTCAAGATAAATATTTAGCGGCTTGTTTCAAGAGTTTGCTTAGGTTTTGATTGTACTCTTAAACATGTAGGGTCATGCTGGGGCAGCTATAGCATATGGATCTCTTCTTCTTAAAGGTAAGCTCTCATTCTCCAATTCCTTCATCCAATTATGTGGTATATTATTGTTACAGGCGACCTTATGTGTTAGGAACAAGACAATAATAAAGGAAAGAATAAATGAGAGAAAAATTTCTGTGAAGTCAATTCCTTGTCTTTGTTGGAACCCTTTCACTACGAGTCTAGCCTTATATCTTTTGCTACCATCTGGTTCTTCTTTCAACCTATAGACCCACCTGTTTTTGCAAAACTTTCTTTCCTTCTGGTAGCTTGGTTAAAGACCATGTTTTATTCTTCTGAAGGGACTTTATCTCATCTTCCATTGCTAGCTCCCACTTAATAAATTCATCTCCCCGCATAGCCTCGGCAAAATGCTCCGGCTCACCAGACATCGATCAACAACAAATAATGCAATGAAGGGGAATACCTTTGTGGTGCTACAATTGTTCTGCTAGATCTTCTAACCAAGATTTCGGGAGTTGCTGACTCTACTATTTGTTCGAGTTCTGTCTCGGGCTCGACATAGGCTCTACTTGTATATTCCGCCTTCGGTTGACTACATCACTTTCACGAAATTTCTTCTAATGATACTTGCTCTAGTTGTTTATTTACATTTGCGGATTCTGCAATCCTGTCTCTATAGAATATGTTTTCATTAAAAGTAACATTTCTACTTCGATAATTTTCTTGTTTTGGTCATCCCAAAACCTGTAGCCAAACATGTCAGATCCATAACCAATGAAATAACAACGTTTTGCCTTAGGGTCCAATTTATCTCTACTATTAGAGTCTAACATAACATATGAAGCACAACCAAAAACTTTCGGATGTGAAAGATTTACCTCTTTTCCAGACCATACTTCTTCGGGTAACTTATAGTCTAAAGGAACTGATGGTCCTCTGTTTATGAGATAGGCTGCTGTGCTTATTGCATCTGCCCAAAATACCTTGGGTAATCCTGACTGGATTCTCATACATCTTGCTCTCTCATTCAAGGTTCTGTTCATTCTTTCGCCACACCGTTTTGTTCCGGTGTTCCTGGAACTGTCTTGATCATTCTGATCCCATTCTCTCGAACAAAACTCCTTGAATTGACTACTCGTCATATTCTCCACCATTATCGGACTTCAAACATTTGACCTTTAAACCTGTTTGAGTCTCAACCTCCTTTTTCCACCTTTTAAACACGAGAAAACACATCAAATTTATTTTTAAGAAAATAAACCCATACCTTTCTTGTAGAGTCATCAATGAAGGTTACATAATATTGTGAACCTCCAAGGGATTTCACTGAAGCTGGCCCCCAAACATTTGTATGCACTAGTTCTAGTCTTTCAACTTTAGACGACTTACTTGTTTTTGAGAAGCTAACCTTTTCTCGCTTTCCAAAGATACAATGTTCGCAAGGTCCAACGTCAACATGCTTCACGTTAGGTATTTTACCTTTTGATATCATGAGCTTCATTCCTTTCTCACTCATATGCCCAAGCCTCCGATGCCATAAGGAGGAATTGTTGCCAACTTCGCAGCTGATATCATATCCTCATCTCGCAATCATGTAGAGAGATCCTTGCTTCTTTCCACGAGCAACAACAAGATTACCTTTCATTACCTTCCAATGTCCATCTCCAAAAGTGGTGTAATGTCCCTCATCATCCAACTGCCCTATAGATATTAAGTTTCTCTTTAAGGTTGGAATATGTCCGACATTATTCAAAGTCCACACGTTTTCATTAGAGGTTCCGATGTTAATATCACCTCTTCCTATGATATCAAGAGATTTTCCATCTGCAAGGTAGACCTTCCCAAACTTTCCGAAACATAGTTAGATAATAGTTCTAAGGAAGGTGTAGTATGAAATGACGCACCTGAGTCCATAATCCATGAGTCAATAGAATTATCTAAACTACATAACGAGTGCATCTTCAACTTCATCAGTTGCTGCATTTGCTGATTGATCATCATCTTGCTTCTTGTTGTTGTTGTTGTCCTTTTTTGGAGCCCTACACTGATTTGAAAAGTGGCCCTTTTTCTGACAATTCCAACAAGTGATATCATTCCGGACTTTTGCTTGTGATCTCCCTCTGGATTTTGATCTGCCTCGGCCTTGATTACGACCTTTCTGGCGACTTCTTCCTCTAGTTTAGTCGTGGACGTAGACATACATATTTTAGCCGAACCACGTTAAAATTCTTGTGTCGTTTATTTTTCTCTCCTTTATTCTTTCCTTTATTATTGTCTTGTTCCTAACATTATGGTCGTACTAAGTTGATTGGCAATTATAGGCACTTTTGACTCTACTAGTAATGTTTACGATAGATGCGGAATTTCTTTTAGTACGTTGGATACAACTACTGATATGTGGGTGGGTGGGTGCGTGTGTAGAAAAACAACATACCATTCTTAATTGATCTTCATACCCAACTAACTCCTTGTTTGGGTGAGTTGACGATAAAAACGAGGAGAAAAGAGTTGAAAATAATTAAATATATATGACTTACAATATTATTTCTTATCTTTTTTTCTATCTTTATCTTTATCTTCTATCAAACAAATCAAATTACATAATTTTTAAAATATATTCTCTTGTTTCTAATGACTAAACTTTCAATTTTAACTTTTTAATGGGATTCTAGCATGGGCAAGTAAAGTAAATCTCCCACCGTAGGACAATGTCTTACGCCTTTAAATATTTATATACTCATTCAATGGTTGACATTGACCAAAATGACATAAGACATGCTTACACAGATAAAAAGAAATAATTAAAATACACTCCACTGCGGTTACTCTGTAAGTCAACAACTCGTAAGGGTATATCTCTCTGTTGTTAGGGGAGTCGAAGGCAACCGCTGTTTTTTTTTTCTTTTTTAATTTCCCATCATGAAAAAATTTCTTTATAACTAACATTGTACCAAACTCACCAACAACCGTTAGCCACACCATAATCGACTGTGAACAACCCCCTGAAACATTGCTCCTTTCCCATCCTCCATTGCTACGTCTCCTATCACCTGCTGACGCTGGAGATCACCAAGCCTATCTCTCCAACGTTTTGTTTGGACTTTGAAGAAAATCTGACATCTGATTTCGTGGTATGGATGGTTGGGAGATGGGGGAAAATGAGAACGAAAGTGGCCCATTGTAACAGGTTTCTACAATTCGAAACCCGCACATGTGATGTTTGTGTTCGATACATTTGTCATTGTAACCATCAATCTCATGTAAAAAATAATCTTCTGGTTATTGTCCTCACAGGAAAAAAAGTGGAAAAAATTTGAGAGGGGTGTTGTCTCTTCTCTCCAACAAAATTCCACGAGAAAAATGGTGCAAAATATATATCACGGTAACCACGTGGAGTTTTGATTTAAAAAATAATCACAATAATTAACATGTGTGGAATATATTTTTATTTTAATTTGTTTTTTACTATAGAATAGAGTTGATAAAAAGAGTTGCTTAATAATAAAATGTAAAATAAACAGTTGGATCCAATCTCCAAATATCTACTGGTTCACCCTAGATTCTGCTTTATTTTTTTCCTATTTTTCTTTTCTTTTTATTTCTCACACAGCACCAAATAAGGCATATGAGATTATTCACCGGAACATATCTGAAGTGACACTCACTGTCATTGCCCTTAACTCCTTGTCATGTCTGGTTTTGGAGAGAGATATTGAGATAATGAAAATAAAGAATAAATAAGACGAAGAAAAAAAAAAGAAAAAAATTTTAATATTTAGGTGTATGAGTTGTAAAAACAATTAAGAAATAGACAAAAAAAAAAATTTGTAAGTTGTGTAATTTAATTGACAGAAATTATTTGATAGTATAATACCATTAATTCCTCTCTATTTTTTTATACTGTCCCTTAGGAATACTTACATTTTTTCTTTTTAAATTCTTTGCCAGCCTTTAATTTTTTTTCATCTTCTCCACCAAACTTAATTTCTCTATTATTCATCTTCATTTATTATCTCGTCAAACATGGCATGAGTGTTGATTCTATAATATAAAGCACTCGCAGAACATGTAGAATGTCTATATAGATGTATCTAGTCAAAAAGTGATTTTTATATGAAAGTAAGGAAAAACATAGGTTGTTGATATGCAAGTAACGTCAAATATTTTATAGAAAATTGAAAGGTTGGAACAATGTCACAGATAAGAATGACCGGGCCGAAAATAATTGATTGTTTCCTCTGAGTATGCCTTCTTCCGTGAAGAAGATAAGTATTAATAAAAGGATCGGACATCTGACATTATTCAGGAGTCATAATATTGTAATTGAAGAGGAAATGAAGAAGCTGGAACGAGGTACTCATCACGCCAAACCCAGCAATTAAAGCACTAAATATTGAATGTGTGCACCCCCTCAAGAATTACACAAATTTAGGATACCAAGAGAAAAGGATAAAGTTGAAAACAAAATAATAATGTCTTAATGTGTTGTGTGAAGTGACAATAAATTAAATAAAATTTTCTATCAATATGTTTGCATTTTGATCTGCCACACTTTGGAAGCAAGGAAGATTTAGGTATTCATATTACTTTCTTTATGGTGGCAAAAGTTAACACAATAAGCTGGCCTTGGATGCTAGCTTCAATATATTCTGGCTGGATATGGTGGCTTGTATTGCACACAGCTCTGCATTGTCTTTTATTGTGTTTGGTACTAACAAAAGAAAATATTATGCCTCAGGTGTTGAGGTTCCAGAATTGTTAATAAAGTTCAGTTTGAAGAGAGGTGCAGTAGCTCATAGACGAGGGAGGAGTAAGGGAAGTCTTGCAATTGACCCAGTAGAGATGGCAAGAGAAAAGTTTCACATAGCGGCAAAAGCAGGGTGTGAGCTTGGATTCAAATGGCTTGCAAGGTTAGAGGAGGAAGAGAAACGGGTACTCACGGAAGGACTTTGAGATGAAATGGCAAGTGCTGTGTTCTTTTTTGTAGCACAACGCCTATGAATTATATCATTTATCTTCTCTGAATTATCAATTTTAACCATTGATTACAAAACACAATAAAGCTGTGGATTTTATTTAGAGTGTAGTTTTTATAGGGGGAGTAATATTTAATCATTGCATCAAGAGTTACACATTATATGAGCTGGCAAGGTGAGGTTTCTGATGATATTATTTTAGTACAATGGGAATTGATCTGGAAAGCACTTGGTCCATTTTGTTATTGATTTATGAATGTGCAATGTGAGTTAATTGGTTATTATTGTACATTTATGTATTTTAATTATTGTTTTGAAAATTGGATCAATAGATGTAATTAGGACTTGATTTAATAGGTTAAATCGAGAACTGATCTGAGAATTGATCTAATCAGAAATTGACTTATTATTTTTAAATAATTATATTTTATTTAATTTGAACAATAAAAAAATAGGTTATATTTTTTTAACAGGTGTTAGTAAAATCAAAATTAAGAGTAATTTTTTATTTATATAATTTTTTTATTAAAGATATATATGTTTTATTTTTATTTTTTTTTTAAATAATAATTATTTTATTATATTTTTAATTAATCTATTTTATATTTTTAAATATATTTAATATTTGTAATTTTTATTATAAATTAGGTTTTATTATTTTTATATAAAAAATATTATTATTAATAAACTTATTATATATTTATTATATTATAAAAATATTATTGTATTACGTCTAATTTAACCGAGTTAAACCTGGTAAACTTTTAAACCCAAAATTCATGGTTTAATGATTGATCCAATAAGCAGAACACATAGGAAAACTGTATTAGTAAAATATAATATAGTTTGCCCCAGTTTTTATAAATAGAAAGAGGAGAGAAGAAATATACGTACATATAAAGAAGTAATATATATATATATATATATATATATATATATATATATATATATATATATATATATATATATATGTAATAAATTGCGATTAAAAATAATATTATGAAACCGTATATTAATAATATTACCTAAAAATCATGATCGGTTTTAGTATGTCTGAAGTATTAAGTAGGTGTAACCCTAATCTACATTACTAGAAGAGAAGGTAAGTGGACCCAAAATTTGTGCAAAACGCAAACAAATTAACTGTAGAAATGGAGAAAAAGAGATGTCCCAAAAGCGATTTGGATACTGTGGCCCTGTGGGTGCTTTCTGTTGTTTTTGGATTGCGATAATTTCTACCGTATTTCATCGCTAACAACAAATTTATCTGCATTAGAGTGCGTTAGAGTTCAAGGAAGAGAATGAAATAAAATATTGGTGGTTTCATAGAAAAGAATGAAGGATTATTGGATGACTGGAATATCATTCAAGTCATAATTGTAGAAAAATAGCAAAACTAAAAAGTGAATGAAATTAATATCTCTTGATACAATCACAGTTCTCTTTAAAGTATAATAGTCAAATGCCAATGTTTCTTATTTGGTTTGAATTGATTTTTGTGGTTATTAAAATAATTTTACTGAGTTGCAGCAGCTATAACTTCTCCCAATCGTTCATTAGAAAATGGATTTGAATGAAAAAAAAAAAGTGGAGATGGTTTGGATTAAAGAAAAATTAGTTAAAAATGATAAAAAAAATAAAATGAAAGTATGTGAATGATGAAATTGATTTAACAGCTTAAAAAATTAAGATTTAATTGATAAACCGATAGATTACTATTTTACTTTGGTTTAAATAAATATTTAAAAATAAAATATAAGTTAAGTAAATAATGTTAAAATTAGACATAATATATTATTTAACTATATGAATTTATTATAAAATTAAATATGTGACTTGGAAATTAATTTGAAAAAAAAGACTTAATTTGTTTAAATAAAATAATTTTATAATTTAAATTAATAATTTTATAATTAATTATAAAGTTAATTTAAATTTAAGTGTATGATTAAGAATGAAAGTTGATAAAATAAATTGTAAAATTATAGGAAAAAAATGTGCAACAAACAAATACAAAGTCAATAGAAGCAAATATTTAAAATGCAATGTCAGATTATTCTGGTCATACATAATAATGAACATGAATAAAAAAGTAAGCAAATTAAAACATCAATTATATTGAAATGAGTCTTGAAAGTTGTCAAATTGCTCCTACAAACGGCGAATTCTATCATGAACCCTGTCAAAACTTATGCTAACAGCTAGGTTTAGATTAACTAAATCATCTTTCATCTACTACATTTTTGTTTGCCTGTCATGAATCCTCCAAATTTGTGATAACATTTGACCATTATGGGGGACTGAATGCGGCTAAACTGGTTCATGGTGGACAAGGTTTTCTTGTCCATGGTTCATTGCATCATCTTCAAATATAACAGGGTCTTCATCGTCATCATTTTCATTTTTCTGGTTAACATTTCCATGTTATTACACATCATTCACATAAACAACATTTAATTTGTTCAACGTTCTTTTACTAAAGTAATAAGTCCAACTCAAGACGATGAAGGAATCTAAAGTCAAATCCACGTCATAGTGTATCATTATGTGTGTGATGAATATGACATATGGAAGATGCATGCTATTATTCTTGCATTTCAACATATGTTGCATAATATGATATGACCAATTAATCAAAATGTTACTTTTCAATATCCACAACATAAATATATCCTCCTGTATCAATTTTTCAAATTTGACGCTCGAGGAGTTAATATATGAACAAGAACATAATACAAAAGTCTATCATTGATTTGCAAACTTCCTACATTTCTGACATTTGGACCTTGGACTTGTAGTCTTATCATTGAGTTCAATGTCATCTCTTGGCCGTACTCCATGTCTTCTGAGATATCAAAAAATGACATCTTCTGACCTTCATATTTAAGATCAGCCAAAGTTAACCAATCCGTATGTGTTATTTTGATGTTTGTCTTATTCACCTTACTGTACATATTCCTCCGTTTTGTGATTTTTAGGTTTGTGTAAAAGATTCGAACCAGTTCATCATAATATTTTGAATTTAACATACAAAATTGTGTCACCCTTGAAATTGAATATGATTATGGAAGTGTAACCTTGATGTGGCAAAGAAAGGAAAATTCAATACTTTTGGGCTTAAAAATTTTCGCCCATTAAATGAGTTATTATACAGTACCATCTATTCATCTGTGTTGAACTAACATGTAAGATTTGTGAGAAGAGAAGTCCCACATTAGGCAAATTTTACTTTGGTGCTTATTTTTCTTATTATAAAATGAGCACAGTGTTTATCTTGTAAAACACACCCTTTTCTTTCTCTTGCTGCTTTAGTACTTGAGAGATAAATTAAGAAAAAAAATAGTTTCTTTTTTTAGGTTCTCTTAGAGTTGTTTTTCCTTTATTTTCAAGAGAGTATATTATTATTTTCTCCTTGTAGATAAAAAGAGAAGAGTTATAATTTCTTTTATTAGTAGAATTACTTTTTTTCTATTGTCGGTGTTTTTCTCATCTTTTTATTTAGTTGTGTGTGCTTATATTTTTGTTTGATACCTAACAGTGGTATCAGAGTCGAGGTTGGTTTGTTATTTATGATGATATTATTCTGCTGTTATAGTCATTAAAATAGTATTGAAAAAAAAAATTCTTAGTATGATTTGTGGTTAGTGTTGGAAAAAAATTCTTAGTATGATTTGTGGTTGCGGTTAAGTTGATCTTCCATATCCAAAAAAAGTTATTTTACTTACTAGATATAACGTGTGGTAGTGTAACAGTGCATGTCTAGGAAAAGTCCTGACAAGGAAAGACTTGGTATTTAAGTGTGTCTATTAGTGATCCACCTCTCTTTCTTGGGAGATTACCCGGTGTACTAGTTACAATTTATGTTGTTATTCCAGTAGGCAATACTATTCATACTAAAAGGTACATAAGTCGGTTAAAACCATAACAACAAAATATGAAATAGAGAATTTTAATGGGAATAGTTTCTCATTGTGGAAATTGAAAATGAAGAAAATTTTGAGAAAAGACAATTGTGTAAAAGCAATTGGAGAAAGATCGTGGGCATCACAGATCTAAGGTGGGAAGAAATTTATAATAACGTTATAGTAAATTTGTCGAGAAGGGTACAATAAAGGAGATTTAGGAGTACCTTGTCAAATTGTATCAGGAGGAAACACATATTGAACTTAGTTTATTATGATGTGTTGGAATCGCCAATATTATCCATAGGAGGGGTCAAATATTTTGTGTCAGTGATGACAATGATTACTCCAGGAGATTATGGGTGTACCGCATCAAGAGGAAGTTTGTATTTTCAAAGTTCGAGAAAGGAAAATTCTTGGATTATACTAACAATATGAATGAGTATTTCCTGTGGGTCCTACTATCCACAAGGTTATTGTTAGCGGTGATATAAATATTATTTTTCTTCAAAGTGGACTTAGAGAAAGGATTGGTGTGCTCCAACCAAAAAACTTAAAGAAAAAGGAAATTTGGTTTGCCGGTTGACCAAATCTCTGTACGGTTTAAACCAGGAGTCCAGGTGTTAGTACAAGAGATTTTATTCTTCATGATTAACTTTGATTACAACAGACTAAGTTCAGACTATTGTACCTATTATAATAGATTTGATGAAAATGATTTTATCATTTTATCGTTGTATGTGATGACATGTTGGTGGTAGGCTCCAACAAAGTTCGAATCCAAGTTTTGAAGGCACAATTGACTAGGAAGTCTGATATGAAGAACTAGGAACCAACAAACAAGATTTTAGGGATGAAAATTCATCGGGACATAAAAGATAGGAAGGTTTGGCTTTATAAAAAGAATACTTACTAAAGGTCTTATAGTGTTTCAACATGTAAGGGTGTAAGCCAATTTTTATCTCATCTTCTATCAAGTTATCCTCAAGTATGAGTCCTAGCAATGAAGTAAGGAGGATGAAAATGTCTCGAGTATTGTATGTATCAATGGTGGAAAGTCTTATGATTACCATGA